CCCCGTATGACCACGGATTCCATTTCGATGACACGCTGCATCTATTAGGCCTCGGGATCCACCCATCGTTGGTAGTTCTGTTCAGCGTCGTACTCGGGGTCCGCGGGATTCTTTCGATGAGCCTCAAGAATTTGGAGAGCTCGTGCAGCGATTCAGTAGCTGAAAGGACTGAGTGAAACCATAGGCCAAAGTCGCAGAGCTGTACATAGCGCTGCGAATATCTGCTCTGTTTCTCAATGTATGGGCGTAGGCCACTCTTGAGGTGTGAGGCTAACCCATCCCAAATTGCAGCTGAGAACGTGTAGGGCAAGCGCTTCCCGATATCAAGCCACATTTTGCCAACACCGTTGTGTACCACTAAACCACTAAGCGACGTTGGCACACACAAGTTCCTGATCCGATGTAGACCAAATATTCCAGGTTGCTGGCCAGCGATAGCTACTGGCTATATGTTCCATCTGCATTCAGTACTAATCAGGCGATTGAACTCACCATGTAGTCGGTTGGTGACTGGATCACTGAAGGCTGGTGCTCTATGAATATATGCCATGCTCGGCGCAAAGCTGGAGTAGGCATTCATAGTATGTCCTGGGAGTACTATGGCTTTATTGACCATCGAGTTCGAGTATCATCATTATACACGTTAGCTGCAGGTAGAAAACACCTCAACTATTGTACCGCAATAAAAGAGACAAAAGAAAAAATGAAACAGAGACACGCCGGCTGAGTCACCAGTAACGGATGGACATCGTTCCGGAGAGTCAACAGCTGGCTATTGTGCCGCAAAAAAGGACTCATTTTATGCCTAATAATTGAGATCGTGGTTAGAGGTGAGGCTAAGCGAGAGGGGGAGGGACAAAGAAACTCACAACACAAACACCATTGAGGTCGGCTACTAGCCATGTCAACAAGTGTATCCATCCAAATGTGTTCATCGTCCTTCGGTCTCCAACCCGGAAGCCGAGAGGCTCTAACTGAGGCCAACTTCTAACTAAGGGCCTTCATTCCTCTTGGCCAAGTCATCGCTCGGCCACCCCACCTTTCATCCGCATCCCCGGCACGCAAACAAGACACACCGCGGGAGTCGGTAGGCTGATAACACGTGACCCAGCCCTCTGAGCCTGGCGCGTGCAATAACGGTGCTGAGCGCTGCGCTGCTTCTTCCTGCGCCATAAATAAGGCGTCGCACACGCTCATTGCTCACACGGTGTTCCCACCAGATATGAGCCAAGCTGCGAAGGCACCGGTAGTCGAACCGAGTTCGCACTCATCTACTTCAAGTCTGGCGGTCTGTGAGTTTAAGTCTGCCGCAAGCACCACAATGTCCTTGCAACGCTTTATGCGGAGTCGGTGAGTCAACGATAGAACTTATTTTTGCTTGAGCCCGGGTCAATTGAATGTATGCACCCCTATATGACAAATGAACATCATCCACTGGTCCCGTAGCTAAACGACCTTACCCAACTTTCCTGTCGAATAAATCCAAGTTATAATTGTAGTGTTTTCATCTCAGCTGCTCACAAGCTACAGCACAGCCTAGTCCGGAAAAGCAGCATAGATGTTTCGCCCTATTGGGACTCGTCAGTGGTGCGCATTCCCTCGGTCCCCCACTGGGGATCGAACCCATGACCGCTAGAGGCACATGCCAACTAGCCAGCAGCTCAAACCACTGAGCCACGGGGGACGTCGTCTGGGTTACACAATTTGCACTTTAACTGTGATATTGCACGACCTATCTTCCACTGCCACACAGTTCGTTACCTTAGCAGATGACAGTGGCTGGCCTCTGAAGGTCATGACTTCCTCTCACTAGACGCTACGTCCATAGCATTGGCAACTAGACTATGTAGCTTGTGAGCAGTTGGAACGAAAACATTACGATTACAACTTCCTCCTACTCATAAGTAAAATCAAAATTACTTGTTAACTGGTACGCATTCATATAGGACTATTCCTGTGCCTGACGTGGTCAGCGGTTTCGACCGTCGTGTTTCCGTGTAAACGCGATATGAAACTGCCAGTTGAACTTTCAGACAGTGGAACCACTCGTGACATTCTGCTAAAATCCTGTTAACGAGTCCCAGGCAGATAATTACTATCACTAGTGAGTGTTTCTAAAGTATGAGCGAGAGCTGTGCGTGAACCGATCTACACTAACGTACGAACATTGGATGTGGCTACATTAGATTGGGAACAGAACGTTTGGAAAGACCTGACAACACGATTGCTGATGTACCACCGGACCTATACTGATAACTCATGAGGTCAGAACTTTCGCTTGAGTTGGTGCTGTGTTGCGTACTCTGGAGTGGAGACAGGTTACCACGGACATTAGTTTGAGCAAAGGTGCAGCAAATTACTCGATTTGTCATTCAATGGAACCTGGGTTAGTGAGTCTGATCACCAACGCCCCATTATCCCCCGATGTATGTTGCTGTCTTTTGAGTTACTTATATCGTATCGCTTAATGGTTTTAGCTCAGCGATTGTGAGGGAGCTAGGTGTTTTATTTATACGAAATGGTCACCTTGACTTAGGTACTAGAGTTACGAGCTGTCTTTAATGTGGAATGCATGTTCATTGCTCACTGGTCTATTGACACTATCGTCCATCGAGATTTAAGTCGACCTAAGCTCCTCTAAGTTACATCAGTTCACTTACCTGTGTTCAGTGCATCTTAAGGTGAAAAATCTACAACCCACGGTTCTAAGTCGTCTAGAGATACTTGTACCCAGTCTCCAAACCGATCCTTGATAGACTTGGCCGTCACACTCCAAAACTGGAAGTGCTTCTCACTAATGGAATTGATCACTCAATCATCTAAGGAAACATTATGCAAACAGAAGAATTAAGGAACTGGTATCCGAAGTGTCATCTGCATGCGTGATTCCGTGCCATTATTTATCCTCTTTTGTTTTTCACCCTTTCCTAATATCCTAATTTGTCTCGTAGACAGGAGGAAATGATGTCTGACCAAAATCGATCATCCTACGGAAATGTCAACGATTGATCAGAATGGTGATCCACTGTTCATGGATGATACGCGAAACTTTTCACGGACGCCATTCTGCAGTGACTACTTCTCTGGTAGCCAAATTCACTGACCACATAACTACGCTTCGTCACCCGTTTGAACCGCAGCACCCATATGGACGATATACCGTAGTAGTTTTCCTTGATCTAAAAGCCACTATGTTCGTTGTTCTACTTATCGCAGGTGGGCGTTTCAGCTTAGTTGCCTTCTGAGAACTGTCTACCACGACTCCCGTGGTCGGGTGAATGGCCTACGGAAAGCTATTACTTGAGTTTCCAATGACTAGTGAGACACGCCAGAGTCTTCTACTATTCCCTTTTCAGCTTCCTAATTGAACCAACCATAATAGATTATGTTTTCTCAACTTCTCCTGGAGTCCAAGTCCTACCGAGTAAGCTAATGAAAATCTTAGTGCACATAGATGACAGCTCTTGTCGAGTCAAGTCTAATCCACTCTGTTCAGACGATTTTGAATGATGTTGCACATTTCGACGTGCTTTTCACATGACCGAAGTTCAAACACAGTTTCGGGACAGGACCAACAAAACATTTAGCTATCGCCGTAACACCACTTTAAATGCCCGAATAGATTGCTCATACAGTCCAACCTGCTATGTCGACCACCTGTCTATAGCGACTAGCCAGAAACATCAGCAAATTTTTCTTCTTTGAGTAATGCCCCTATGCATGGGCCTGTCCGTGGCGACCACCTATCCAAGGCCACCACTTTTTGTCGGCCCCTTGAGTCGTCTCCTTAGCCAGATTTGACTGTATAGGTAATTACTTGTGCTATGTTGATTATGTCATTGAATAGGCCACTTTAGCTTTCAGCAAAATCGATGAGGCTTTTAAAGTCTCGGCCAAGGGGAGGGTGTACAGCACAACAGTCAGGTCGGCTTGGCCGTATGAATCTATGGAAAGGCCACTTTGCACTGAATGCATTCAGAAACAGCTCGTCTTTGATCAACCATGCTTGTGAGGGTATTTCTGGTGCACATGAGCATCAAATGAGTGATGCTGAAATTCACCAGTTTCCTTTCATAATAGTTTTCTCTGGTACTACAGTGGGACGTCTGCTATACTTGAATCGCTCACTTTGCCATTGGTATACCTGTTTCCGCCTTATTTGTACCTGAGCTAGTTACCGTCGCTGCGCTTACTTATGTGAGACCGTGAGATGGCCACTTGATGACCTGGCACAGAAGCACAAGGCATTTGGCTGGACTTGGTCTGGCTAGTACATATTGTCTTTCTAACTGGGGCTTTTGGGATGGGCATCTTCACTGTATGCTAACCCTGTTCGACGCGATGCATTCGTGAAATCAGTGGCACTCTTGCCTTCGGTACACTGCACTCACTTGTCAACATACTACCTTGCTTAGTTGTGCCAGTGTTTCTTCCATGCCCTCTCCTCTTTGTAGTTTGAGCGTGTTCTACCCGATTTTTCCGTCGTTATTAATTACCGTTTTTGTAGGGATGCAATCCATTGTAACTGCACCCATTACAATTTGGAACTAGCATCAGCTTCCTCACGCTTTAACCGAACCGAGCTGAACTCTGTGGTCTTCATTCTGTTAGCTTGCAAGTGGTGCTTCAAGAAGCGTGCACCCCCGTTATATTCTACAGGCAATCATCTTTGTACGGCTAGGAGGCCAACATAAATGCACGGGAGATTCTCCTCTGAATGTGTATGGGACTCCAGATCAGTGAACCTGTTTCTTTTATGATGTTTAAATGTGTTCTTTTTTTACAACTTCCCGTTTGTTGTCTTCATCACTTTTTGGCCTCACGTAAACGGGTTCATACTGCAAGTACTGTAGTTAACCATGCTTTCTAAAGTCACGCTCCATTGCATTTAGTTTTTTTGTGTTGTTTCAGTGAACGTCGAGCCGCACGTGATTGTGGGCTACGACACTCGTGAGAGTTCACCTTCCTTGGCCGCAGAGGTGGTCTGTGGCGTCGAATCAATGAAGGGCTTGTGCGTGCAGCTCGGTGTCGTGACTACGCCACAACTACACTTTGCCGTACAACACATGGTACGTGTTGCGTCTTCCCCATTTCCTTCACTGGACTTTAACACCCACGGTTGTGCAGACAATGTTTCGACTGACTTAGGTATTTGCCTGTCATCGCAAATGAAGCTAGGCTCTATTATGTATCGGCGGTTTATCAAACTTCATGTATAGCTACACTGGGTGAGGCTTTCTGAATTCCATCCGAATCCGTCTTACTGCAGAGCCTGTTATCTGAGACCGGACAATATACTTCTGTTCTTGAATACCTGAACTGTAACAAAAGTGTTCACAATTTTGTCAGCTGTGCTGATATCGTGGTTCGTCCAGATAGTTCGCGTCGATATAAACGGCGTTGACAGCTTATTGCTAGCCAGTACCTCGACTGCACTCCATTCCTAGCGTTCCATTAACTATTTATCTCTCTATTCACCACCCGGACTTACATTCACCCACCCGGAATCTGAACACCTGACTGTCAGTTGGAGTTGTTTCCCGTACATGGTCGTCTATCTAATTTGAGAGGTCACCAGCTCAGGTTGGCCACACTACAGTTGAATGGAAAGATAACCAAATTTTTCTTCCTTTTGAGTACCACGGACATAGAGTGCTCTTCCATCACATGTCATTACGTTAACACCATTCAAAAAACGATTTTATGTAATGCTATCCCATTTGCATTACTCGGCATAGTCCGCTTCAATTGGAAGATAAAATAACGTGAACTGGGCTCACCAGTCCTCTCTGTTGTAACCTAGTGCAATGGAAACTTTGATCTGTGTTTACATTAGTCGTTTAATGAGTCAGCCAAACCACGATTCTTTCGTCACTTTTACCTTTTTTCTGTGATACTCTGGTCATCCTTATAACTTGTCAAGCGTTTGCTTTTTACACACAGTAAATCATTTTTCATTACTCATCTAAAAGAACTGAGATCCCCTTATCCACTGTGCTTGCGACTAACACTTTGAGAACAGATCCGTTAGGCGTCGGTTACTTTAGTCGGGATGCAAATCTTGATCCCATCAGGTAACTGGTTTTGGGATCTCCTCAACTCGCGTCGAAGTTTGTCTGAAAACTTTGCTATACACCTGGAGCGTCTGACGTTACTAGCAATCCGTGAGTAGTGGAGCTCACCATCGTTCAAGACAACTCATGGAATCTCCAGCATATATGATGCATAAAATCAAAGAAGACTTTAATGGCAAACAGTACTTGCATAATGAATACTTCGTCTACTGTGAGGTCTATTTGCACTTCAGTCCTCTCATACCGAGTAACCGCACATCTCATTCACTAAGTCCCCTTTTTGCTTTCTTTGTCACTTCAACCCACTTGGGACTTCTCCGTTTAGTATGCATAGGCGTTACGATCTGATGTAGTACGTTATACAGGGATTAAAAAGTACGTCTGACCCACAATTCTGTCACCATTTTTAACATTATGTTTTTCGCCGCGGGCTCCCTTTTGTTCCGGTGGCTGTTGATTCTCTTTACTGCTTTTCGGATTAGCCCAATAACGCCGGAGAATCGTCGTCTTTAGCTTACTTTTCTTCGCATTCAAAGTAATAATCTACACTCTGAATTGGTAGCTTTTTACCTTCGAGATAATCGAACCAATGAGGAGCAGTCTGCTTTTCCCATCTCTCTATGTCTCATCTTCGGTCAAAATCACTAAAATACTGCTAGCTCGTGTTAGTTGTTCAGGGGAGCATGCAAACATTTCCGATTGGATGTTCACCATTTGGCCTATATTTAATTGGCGTATCTCGCAATGACCACTTTCTTATACTGGTCTTCCTTTACTTTGAAGACTACTTACCCGTTTGTTGGGTGTACTAAAAAGTACCCTTCCCTGTTTAACTAGCAGCAAGACTAGTCTTTCACGCATTTCGGCGCTTTACCTCGCTTTCTGATCTATCTGGTTTGACCGAGTAGTGTTCCACAGGTAACTCGAGATCCACTCCTACCGATTGGATCAATCGTTCGAGACCAGGCAGATTCAGTCACCTGGTTCTCTAAGTTAATGGTTGACTTTAGTGGCGCCCGTTGATCTAAACCTGGCCTACGGAACCGTCTCCATGTTCTCGCTTGTTCGTGATCAGGTTTTTGACTCGAAGACCTCAGTCGATAATTCTAGTCGTTCTGCGTACACTTTGACACCACTGCACTACTCTAGCTCTTATGCAACCGAACTTTTATGTACTCGAACTTAATCCTCGTCCTGCTTCGTTAGACACACAGCCTCTAACTGTTTGACTTACCTGCCATACTAAGTTTATCCTTCTTTGTGCTTTACCTCAACTACACGATCTTTCTGAAATTAGCCTTTCTTAGTGGTCTTTTAACTAAGTCGCTTAAGGTTAGTGTTAATTTTCTCTTTTTAGTTGTCTGATTCTAAAAACTGGCTACTTTTTAATCAACTCTTCTTACCCTGGCCAGCGGAACCGGGAGAAACTGAGATCAAGTTCCTGTAACATGCAGTTAACCCATTAAGGCTTACTTCACTTTTTCGTCTCTGATCATCTACATCCATTTTTACTGGATGTTTGGATTTTTATCTTCCAAGCACATGGAAAATGACGATTGTTGGTTGCAACTGTTACCAATCATTTACTGTTTCTAAGCCACATTGTCCCTAGAACAGTGGATGCTGATGTGCCATTTGGTGCCCTACTTCTGTTGACCACTGAAGCGCACAAATTTATCACATGATGGGCATCAATAGTTATGAGTGGGTTCCATCTTGACTACCCTTCGCCGTTGTACTCATGCCCTAGTACTGCACCGATATTGTTTGGATTGTGCTGCGATACACAGCAAACCACTCCATAGATTAGTGCACATGACACTCTCAACCTACGCTTAGACACTACTACGAGGAAGTCTTGCGCCGTAGGATTGCACCGAATTTATCTGCAGTCACTTAGCTTCAGTGTACTGGAGTTTCGGGTGCCATGAATGGCAAGTGGTGTTCTGTTTCTGACATCTTCAGTTGTCAACAGATAACGACAGCAATGCTTCAGTCATTTGAACTGGCGTTTCAATGCAGTACAGACGCACTTATCTAAAGGAACAGTGGAGACTTAGTGTAAGATCTGGATGCCCTAAGTAAACAGGCAGGATCAAGTCGCCTACGTCTTGTCCATAACACACGATCACACAGCCTGCTATCGTGCGAGACGTCAGTCTTGTTGCCACGGATCATCCATGAACTCATGGGAGACTAAGCCTTAGAAGGGGTTTTAAACTTTCTAAGACTTAATAGTGTAGTCTTAGGTGAAATCGATATCAGCCTAACCGGTTGTCAGTATTGATTAAAAAAATAGCGCGGGCATCAGCATTACGCCGGTACGAAGTACCGATGCTACGCTGCCACGCAACCACCAACAGTCGCACGTGGGCTAAGGATACTGCGAGGGTCATCCGGTCCCTACGAAGTCTTAAACCCACGCCCTCGGGTTGCAAGACGGGTTTGTGATGCTTACGGCTACGGGCCGGCAGAAGCCTGGTTAAGAAGTGCATTTTGTACGAGAAATGAGTAGCTTCCGCAGACCCTTTCAAGTGCCTCGCGTTACTGGGGACATAAACGCAGACATGAATGAGGCAATTTGTGACGGCGATGGTGCCGTAAATCACGCACCAGGCTCCGGTGGCAATGCCACGGTCTGCACATGCCAGTCTACCGACTCCCGTGAAGTGCGGGGTTGTGGATGGAAGAAGTGGGGGCCAAGTGATGACTCGCTCAAGAGGAATAAAGGTCCTTAGTTTGACGTTGGGTTTGGTTGGAGCCTCTGGGCTCCCAGTTTGAGAGCCGAAAAACGATAAACACGTTTGGCTGGATGCACCTGTTGGGATAGCTAGGTTCCGACCTTAGTGACGTTTGTTTTGTGAGTTACTTTGTCCCTCCCGCTTAACCCCCCCCCCTCTCAACGACGATCTCACTTCCTAGGCGTGCTATTCTTTTTTGATGCAAAAAACCGGTTGGTAGCTCTCCGGAACGATGTCCAACCATCCGGCGCACCTCTCATGTTTTTATGTGTCGCGGCACAGTAGCTGTGGTGTTTTCCTCCTGTAGCTAACGTGTATAATGATGATGAGTGAGGGACACCATCTGACTGGCCTTAGCATTTAGTTGACCTTAAGCTTCTGAACAGTTTCTTGTGTAGACAGCGCAAGTTACGACATCATTAGTTTGCTCGAAACCGCAACTGAAGTTTTGGTTCTATACGCAATCGTAATCTACAATGCTGGCTTGGATTTTCTCCTTCCCTCACTGTTTAGGTATGGTGCAACAAATCAGCTCACCTGCTCAAATGTCTATGAAAGACGGAGAATATTACAGTTAGCTGAGACTTCAATGTTTAAACCATAGCCGCTTACAAAGCAGCAACAAAGAACCGCATTTCAACAGAATATACTGAATTCAGCTGTCCCGCGTTCTCCTATCAGCTGCTTAAAAACAAGTTGTGGAATGATTTCTGTGGTATTTCTTCCCAGTTGCCTTTCACTCACCAGGCTTTGACACGTCTGGAAAAGCACCAGACAGCTGTTTCGACCCTCTGGGTTTCGCCAGTAGTGTGCCTTCCTCGGATCTCCGCCGGGTTTCGACCCCATGACTTCCGGATCCCAACAGCTTATGCCACTAAGACAGGAGTGACGGTCTCGGACCTGCATGGCTGAGAGTCGACTACGATATAGTCCTGCTCATCCTCCACTGCTATGCCAATTACGAACTGTGCAGAGGAGAGTAGTTGGCCCCGGGAGCTAGGACGTTCCACCCAACCACATTTAGTAGCTATACGGACAGGTTCTTTAGCTTACTGATGAGTAGTAGAGATTTAGGTATTATTTCAGAGGACTGCAATTAACTACCGAAAGAATCCTTACCTATAGCTTTTAAATGCTGTGTTCTACCCAGTCGCTGTGTGAGAACTCCTAGCTCCTGGGACCAACCACTGTCTACTGCACAGCTCGTAACTGGCATGGCAGTGGAGGATGAGCCGGGCTATATCGTAGTCATTCATGCAGGTCCGGAACTCATGGGATCGGATCCCGGCGGAGCTCCGAGGAAGGTGCACCACTGGCGAGACTCACAAGGTCGGACAGGCAACAGTCTTATTGTGGGTTTGAGCCCCACCAGCGTCAGAGGGAATGCGCACTGCTGATGATTCCCGCAAGGATGCAACGCGCGTACAGTGTTTATCCGGGCGTGTGACGGCTGTTTGAGTGAGTCTAAATGTGACGAATTTCTACCCATTCCATTCCACTCTCCATACTACTCCACTGCAATCTTTGTTTGTTACTTGCCATAAACGATCCTTGCGGGTTTTGGCACGCAGAGCAGTCGATTATGTGGCGAGCAATCGAGCCAGTAGGCAGGTTGGGGTCACTTACAATCATGTTAAAAGGAATATGCTCTGCCATGTTTCTAGACAACCTCTCAGTTCGACCAGCGTGCTTGCCACCGCAAGTACAGTAAATTAGGTAGACATCTGGAGCGATAACTTGAGAGTCTAGTCTGTCCAGGTTGGATTCACATAGCATACTTATTGTTTTGCTACACTACTAGTTCGCTTGATTAAGCAAGTCCTAGTGGCTTCTTGGTCTCGATCACTGATCGACTAAGCTCAGGCTTATTTGTCGGTGCACCGGACTTTGTCTGCCGTTCACTGCACAATTCATTTGTATGGGATCTGCATGATGAACGATCCCCAATGGCAATTCCAGTCATGTAAATGCATGTTCCGCCCTTAATACTTGCTTGAGTATTCCCTGCGCATTTATCGATTTTGGGTCCAAACACTTGAGGGCACTGTGCGACACCTTTGAAAATCTGTCTCGACTCTACTACAGCTCTTCACCTCCCATCTTTGTTCAGATGGCTCCTCTAACCTACCATTACTTCGAAGCCGACTACTCAATCTCCACGTCCAGTCTACTTCCCCTTTTAGATAAATACTTCTTTTTCCGTGTACTTTCAAAACTTTGTGTTAATTGAGTCGCATCGCGGCCGCGTACAATGGTGTTGCTATGGTCTAAGCCAGAATACATCGCTGTCACTCGACCTACGGCCTCTGTTAGTCCGTGCTCTTATAATATTTATGATGTGGCTTCCTATCGTGGAACTAGCAAACAAACCTCAACTGCTCTGCTTTTTGTTTTGCATCACAGAATGGCACACTGGCCAATCACCCCCATGGAGACGTTCAGCTGCTTGACCTAGACGACGTTTATATTCGCCAATACGCCACCCGCTTTTCCAGCGGACTATGTCGGCTCATGTCTAGGCCGGACAAAATATACAATTCTGCCGGTAGCTTTGTTGATCTCCATGTGGATTGCGCCCACGGAGTTGGTGGTATAGCCTTGTCAAAGCTGAACGCTGCCTTGGGCTCCGGGGATTCGCCCCACAAGCTCCGACTCCATTTGTACAATCTAGAAACAGACAAACCGGAACTACTTAATCTTGAGTGTGGAGCCGATTTCGTGAAAGTAAGCCGAGCTTCTTACGGAAGCTGAATTGTCTGAGACCAGATTGTCCTACCTATTTGAGTATTCAAGTGTTGATGAATAATCCCACCTCTCTACTCTTTCCTTGCAATGCGAATTATTTGCTCCGTGCTGCCTATACACCTTTGGCGTTTGCAATGAACCCGTTTTTTCCTTGACCCAATCTGAAGCAGCAAATCCGAACTTATCCTTCTATTTGCTCTGTAATATCTCTAGTCGACACTTTTCTTGGGACTACCTGCTTGCATTTGACTTGTAATCTGGTCACTCACCATCCAACGGACGGTTCCATGCAGAATGAACTTACACTCGTTTCACAGGAACTCCTTTTGCAGTTGGTTTCCCTATGGTCATTTCACTGTTACCAAGGCACCGCAGTGCAACAGAGTCAGTGTCTGAGTACTCAGTTTTCGCCGCTATAATCATCAAGACAATCATAATTGACAATGATGCGTTGGTTTTAGGAATCCCTTGCCCCGATTTTTTGTGTGAAGTGCATCTTCCTGCTATACTCTCCACAGTTTCAGTTCAAACGAATAACTATAATCCGACCACGGAACTGTGGTGGACCCAACTGCGAACGCTGTTGTCATCAGGACAGCAACAAATCACATTAGCAGGAAAACAACGTTGAACGCAAGTAGCATACAAAGATATTCGAATCGAGAAAGAAGCACGTTAAACCAAAGGGGAGAGAAAAGTATCAGTGAGATGGAAGAAAGCGAATGCAGGAACGCCACTGGTTGCGCTACGGCGTCATGTCTCCAGCCACTGATGTAGGCCATCCCGTGTCCCCCATCCACCGAAACGGCGTGCACCAATCTGACCAATCTCTCGGCCAATTTCTTGATGCCTTTATGTGACGTCATCGACTTGCCACCTCGCGGTTTCGACCAACTTGGTGCAGCCATGGCGTATAATGCATGCCGAGGAAGCCGGTTTACAGGCATACGGGGAACATGGCCTAACCAACTTAAGCAGTTACATGTTAGCAAACACTCGAGGCTACCTGCCAAAAATCCACTGGCGGACCTCGGCATCGCTCACCTATTGTTCCAGTCAGATGTGAAATACTCCGAAAACACAGGTGATCAAACATAGCCAAACGATCAACGCCTTCATTGCGAACCTACTAAATCTCCGATCCATGCAGTAAAACCGGCCTTACCGCAACGTTTCACACCCTACCCTTCGGTGACAGTCTGATATGCTGCCATCTCCACAGATGGTTGGGCCTCTGAAAAGTCACCTGGGCCGCTCTTACCGATACGCGAAGTAACTACCTCATCACCATCATCATCATCATCATCATCATCATCATCATCAACAGCAGCACATCAGTCATTTGAACTGATGATTCGCTGCCATACAACCATGAAGACGTATGAAATAAAGAATACCAAAAAAGAGAGAAGGGGGACATACCGGATAACCTTAGTGCCCTAAGCAAACATTCAGGGTGAAGGCGTCTACTGCTTGTGTAGACAACACACCGTCACAAACAGCTGGCTATCGTGCAAAGATATAGCGGCATCCGCGAGACAGCTTCTTGGCGGCTTTCACTGTCACACATCATAATGGGCCATAACCCCGCTGATAACACAACACCGAACACACTTTAAACAGACAACCCGATTAAGAGACGACAGCAGACGCGTCACTGGTGTCGGTTGCGAGCTATGTCCTGTAAAGTCTCAAGCCAAGCAGAAGGCGAGTCACGTAGACTCCAACCCGGAAGGCGAGACTGACCAATGGCACCCAGTTTAGTCGTCAGTGAGTTCATTTCCCGCTGCCAAGTCAACTTCTGTCCACCTCGAGCCTTGCGCCACCCTACACCTGGTAGACTGAACAAGGCCTTCCTAGGTAAGCGGTGATCGGGTATACGTAGTACATGCCTGAGCCAACGCAACTTATTAAGTGCTATCCGTTGTTCTAGGGAGCTAGCATGATTATCACCACCTAGCACTCGCCTACATACATCATAGTTTAGGACACGCTGGTGTCGTCCGACACCAGCAATGCTTCGCAGACAACGATGATCAAAGACTTGAAGGCGCCTCAGATCTGCAGACCGAAGGGGTCAAGTCTCACTAGCATAGAGCAGAATGACCCTCACTGTGACCTTGTATACACGGCCTTTCAAGCGCAGGGAAACTCCCATATGTCGCTAAAGATGCCGCAGGTTCAAGAAGGCAGCTCTGGCCTTTGCAACGCATGAGCTGATATCAGTTTCTATGAACCCATTGTTGTGGATGCAGCTGACAAGATAAGTGAATTGATCAACCACCTCGAGTTCCTCGTTAGCAAGAGTCAATGGGTCATCATGTGGCTGGTGGTCCTGCAGCAACACTTTGCACTTTGAAGGTGCGAAGTGCATACCAAATAATGGGACCACTAGACAGGCTATTTAGGGTTGGTTGTGATGCCGCAACATTGTCGGAAAGCAAGACGAAATCGTCCGCATACTCTAGAACAACTAATCTTACACCAGGTAGCATTTCAACGCCTACATTATGGGATTCCGCAAGGAAACACTCCATGATAGAATACACAACGAAATTGAACAAAAACGGGGAAATCGAACAACCCTGACGAACGCCACTTGTGGTCGGAAAGCTATCCGATAGGCCTGTAGTGTTCGAGTATAGAGCACGAAGGATGTTCACATATTTCGTGGGAACACATTTCCGCGTAAGTATTTCGGACAGAAACGATCGATCGACTGAATCGAACGCACTCTTGAAATCGAGTAATACAGCTATTGTAGGTCAGCGCTATGCGTGGCGCTGCTCTAGCACCTGCCGCAAAGTGAATATATGGTCTGTACAGCCACCTACTGGACGGAAACCGGCTTACTGTTCCCTACTCCGAGATTCCCGTTCCGCAATAAGGCGACGAACGCTAATCGAGGCTAATAATTTTGTCACAACTGGCGTTAGGCTAATACCCCTGTAGTTAGAACAGTCTGTGCGACTGCCCTTTTTGTATACTGCCACTATAATCGATTCGCTCCAGTTGGCCAGGACAATTCCTTCCAGATACGTTCGAATAGGGAGGTCGGTGCTTTGCAGAGGACCTCACCTCCATCCTTAAATAGTGCAAGCGCGAGGGAACCCGGGCCAGCGTCACGAAAACGATTGAGAGCTGTGATCGCGTTTCGGACCTCGGCCTCCGACGGAGGCTTTAAACTAACCGTCCATGGCTCGTTCTGCGTCACCTGAGTAGGAAGAGATCCGGGAGCAGGTGGCCAGCTGAACTGATCTTCAAAGTGTTCCGCCCAACGAGCCATACGGCGCTCTTTATTGTGTATCAGCGCATCCGCGCTGTCCCTGATTGTCTCACTGACGCCTGATTTTCCGGAACCAGTGGTGCGTATTAGCTGGAAGAGCTTGTGGTAATTGCCTACTGCTCCTGCCTCCTCCATTTCTTGAGCCCTACTGGTCCACCAGGATTCCTTGTCAGCACATAGGCTCCGCTTTAGTTCGCGCATAACAGCCTATCTGGTCACATTGTGTTTACAGCTAGTCTGGAGGTTTCTTCTAGATTCCAACAAGTTCATCGACCTGTCGGATATCCAGTGACTGGTGTGGTGACGATGGATGGCGTGATAAGCAGATGCTCCTGCGTCGTGCATGGCGCCTGAGAACCTATTCCACTGAAGCTCAGTGTCATTAGAACAAGACAGCGAGAGTTCGGTACGCAGTGCGTCTTGATAGGCTTGCCTGACCGAGGGCTGAGGTAATTTCTCAGTTGCCAATTTGAGGTGACGCTTGGTGCGCCTCCCGGTAAAGTTCATAGAGAAAAATCAGCATGCCAAGGCATGATCAGAGTCGACGCAGGTACTCCAGTACGAGCGGCAATCCAGGATGGAGCCACGCCATCTATAACTTAGGGCAATGTGGTCAATTTGGGTCCATCGCTGACCAGCTACAGGATGACGCCAAGTGGCACTTCGGCGCACACTGTGTCTAAAAGCAGTGCTAGTAAGAAACAACTGGTGCACCGCACACCGTTGCAGCAGATGCTCACCGTTGTCAGTCCGTTCGTAGTTAAGCCCACAGTTACCAGCCAGCTGAGCTTCTGAAGAGCTCAGACGCCCTACTTGTGCGTTTATATCCGCTGCAACTACTATAATATCTTAACTAGTAGCACTGCGTAGTAGCGCGTTCAGTTTGTGATAGTATGTCTTTGGCAGCATTAGAACTGCAGTCGGTGGGAGCATAAACGAAAAACACAAACAAATAGGGTCTTGTATTGCTACGTGAATCCACCTTCGCTGATGTCGTTCAACGGGCTGCACATAAACGGCTGTTCACCGGAATCCAATCAACCAACGATGACTCAGCCTTGGAGCTGAGAATGATACCTACACAAGCTTGACCCGTGAGTGCTACATCGGCGTCTCCGGATGCGTGCATGGAATAACGAGAGGACAAACCGGGTGCAATTAATTGAACAACCCCGTTAGAGTCATTAATCCTAGTTTCGGACATACAACACACATCAATACCCAGTGTATCCAAGGTGCGTGCGAGTGTAGCCTGTTGACTTGTTTGTCTTAGAGTGCAAACGTTGAAGGTCGCCATGGAAACGGGATAGCGTGGCCTTACAAGGGACTTTTCCGATAGGCGTCCCATAAGTGCTGTGGGATTGTGGCTGCCGAGGGTTCTACTCCAGTGGCACTTTGGTTGCTATTAAGCTGGGAATTATAGAAGGAAGGTTAGTAATGGGGGTCGAGATGGGAGTAAGAGAAACAGGTGGAAAAGGAAAAAGGGATGCGCCAGCAGCAGCATGTTTTCGCTTATCCGCTCTGCTGTATGCAGCAGATAAGGTGACCCTTGATACTCTACGCGACGTCCGTTGCAGGATGAAGTTTATGTTTGAAGAAAATGTCATGGTTGTATGTGGGCTGAGATACTGCCAGGGCGTCCAGACCTAGACAGGAGGACGAATAGGGTCCTCATTCAAAGCCTTTAGCTCAA